ATACATAGTGTCGTCTGCACGTGCGAAGCTGGGACGAGCAAGCTAGTATTGCAAGAATACAAAGAATCACGGGGCCCTAACGCCTGACAGACACACTGGGAGCGTGAGTAATGCTATTTGTGATTTTTAAGGATTAGGAACTCATAGGGATTCCTGGTTGGCGTCGTGTTAATTGTCTTATGTTCGAACGTCACTATTCGTTCGTCATCTTCGCTAAGAGATGGCGGACAATGTTGACCCAAATCTAAAGAGGGCTGATATTTTGAGCGTTTCATGTGAAAGGGTCGGGTGGTGTGTCCCAACGTCCACTGCGAGCCGGTACATGTATTGTAGTCTTCGAAAAGAATTGCCCGTATGAGATAACATTGTAAGGACTTTTTATACACAAATAAAAAGTGGAGAAAACACCCCGATGCGAAATAACTATCTGTGGGTCACACAAATAACTGTGCCGTATGGGAATGGAACCCACGACCCCGGACGCCGAAGTCAATACTTTGGCAACTGCGCCAAGGAGTCATCAAGTTTATAGTACGAGTATCTTTAATGTAGATAAATTTGCACCTTACCTGTAGTTATACTACATTATCTTGTGTTGTAACGTCATTACAACACAAGATAATGTAGTATAACATAATCTTGTGTTGTAATGACGTTTTACATACATTAATTTCACGTGGACAAACGTGCTGGCGATAAACCCGGTTAAGCGGCGATATTTGCAACACCTGTTGGGTTGCAGATGCGTTGCCACCGTTTAATAAATTGGTCGCCGTCTACCTCATTCACAAGGCGAAACGAAGAAGTATAATAATTCAACTCCACGCCGGTCGTCTTTGAAATCGTGGTACTTACCCTCACGGACCTGCCCATTCGTGCCACAGCCAAGACTGTTGCGTTGTCCTACCACAGTTTGCGATCAGGAGTCAAGTTCTATTCTTTGTTATTCCTTCTAGATCGATAGAAAAGTTCTCGTGTCGCGTTTTATACTCGTAAGAAATTCCCTCGCGGCAGTCTCTGAGATTGTTAAGTGTAAGCGGCCCTAAATGTTTACTGGGGTCGCAAACGTGGGGTTGAGAGCCGACATCGAGCTTCACTAGCCCACTGGGGGCTCGAGAGCCACTCCAAACTGACGCATGTCCCAAGTCACGGGCGATTCAAAGTCAAAAGTAAATATTTCTTATAAATGAAACTAATTTATCGCGTTTATTTTTAATTTTAACTTCCGACGTTTCAAACCCTTTACAGCGTTCATGGTCACGGGACAGACTGAGGTGTTAGACGTGTGATTGTCATAGTTAACCCCGGCTACCGTCAGTTTTTGAATTATTAATTTTGTGTCCGATCTATGCAATTTATCTAATATATTTCTTTATTCAATATAGGCTTATTTTAAGGGAAGCATGTCAAGCCAAGCAGGTTTAAGTTGGCAGTCCAGACAGATGTCCCAAATAACGACTCTGCACCTCAGTCCTCACGATAAGCTCTTATCAGTCAGAAAATCGGCCAAGTGCGAGTCGGACTCGCACACGAAGTATCTATAAAAACTGCAAAAAGTCGTGCCTATTCTATTTTTATTTTTATTATTTGATTTTATATCGCCAACAGAGATATATCAGCTGTGAAAATTCCAACTAACTATCACGGTTCATGAAATACAGCTTGATGACAGACAGACAGCGGAGTCTTAGTAATATATTTATTAGTGTCCCATTACACCCTTCGGGTAAGGAAACCTAAAAACTACCACCGGTTCACTAAATAAGAACCTGTACAGAGAAGAACCAGCAAGAAACTGTGCGGTCTTATTATATATTTTTTTCAATTATATAAGTACATAAAAGTAAAGTAAAATAACAGCCTTTTTGTCCCACTGAGGGGCGGAAGCCTCCTCGTTACAGAGGGTATCAGGGCATAGTCCACCACGTGGCCCCACTACGGATTGGCGGACTTCACATATCTTCGAAATATTTTTTTTGTTATTATTTCGAAAATATGCAGGTTTCCCCACGCCCTTCACCGTTGAGCATCCAGGGGACTTGCAAGTACAGAGCAAGAGTCATTTCCAAACATCCTTATCCTGAATGCATTCTTCGGTATCATGATAGGCGCTGACCATTACTGTAGCTTTTACGAAATGTTTACAATTAATTGTTTGTTTGATTGGTAATCAATATGTATTTTGGTCAATTTCTTTTGCGATCAGCTCACTGTGGAAGAGCGAAACAGCAGCTGCTATCGCTAGAATGGGCAGGCTCATCCGGGGAAGAACCTTTGCTCAATGTTATTTACTTCCGTTCCTCCCTACGAATACGTCAAAACAAGAGAACAGTTGGAAGCTAACGGTACGCTATAAACACGGCACGACAAACATCTCGGCTTGTCCCACGATGTAAAATATTAGAGGCGACCGAAATTTAGCTCCCACGATTGACTTGTCTACTTTGACTCGCATTGATGAAAATGCACAATATGCAAACGATGAAAATGTTCGATCCCCACTACTGGAAAAATATTGTGCGATGAACATAGTGTTTTTCTAGTGTCTGAGTCTTGTATCTTGTATTAACTGATGTTTTTGCTTTCAGTCCCGAGACTATTAAAGCTTCATCTGACGCAGAACCGGTGGGCTAGCCAGAACCCGTGGGGTTTGGGCCCTCCGCTGTGGGTAGGGCCGCGCATGTGCTCATGCGTGCGTTTAACTACGACATGTCATCTAAGGGCCATCGAAGTTGCGGTGCGGACCGAGACCCCGATGGCCGTATACTGTGTTTTTAGCTAATCGGTGGCTGGGGGCGGTGAGAACCGCCCTGAAACGCGGGTGTATCTTGTGTACGCATTGTGTTGGTATCGCCGTGCTCGGAGGCGACGGCGAACTATTGTGTTTGTTGTTACACTAGCTGTGGGTGTAGTGTTATCCGGCGGGAAGTGTCTGGGTGTTTATACATGTATATTACGTATTTATTTACAAAAGAAAATATGTTTAAAAACGTTTATCAGTTATCTAGTACCCATAGTACAAGCGTTGCTTAGATTCGGATTAGAGAACTTTGTGTAAAAATGAGTCAGAAAATATTTATTTATTTATTTAAATAGCTCCCCGCCCGTGACTTGTGGCAACCCCTTAGGCCTCCGGTTAGGCAACAGCGTAACAAGTGTACCGGAGTGGCCTCAGTGTAGGCTTAATCGCGTTGCCCCGGGCGGCCTGTGATTTGTGCAAATAGAAAAGGAACGTACGATTCTTGCAGCAAACGACCAAGTGTAAAAACAACATTATAATAAAACACAAAAAAAAATGATACGAAAACATCTAACAACTTTTAATATTATTATATACACTTTTAATATATAATATTCGTTTCACGAACGAATGTTGCAAATAGAAGCATATAGGTTATATATGTAGATAGTTCAGAGGAATATTTGTGTTCCGGAATGCGCCAACGCGGCCTCGCTTTTATCTGGTGCATTCTCTACGCGAAGGCTACGAGGCATCGGAAATGCAACGAACGTAGTTACATCGTATGCAGAAGGTCTTCATCTGTCCACAAATAGAGCCTTCGTACTTATTCATAGAACGGTGGTAGGGCCACGCAGCAGCCTCGGCTGTTGCACGAATGGGCAGGCTTGTCTGGGTAAGTACCACGACCTCACAGAAGACCGGCGTAAAGTGGAAGTATAATACTTTCGCGTTTCGCCCGGTGAGTGAGGTGGCCGGAGCAAAATTTCCAAAAGGTTGTCATCGCATCTACAAACCTCGGGTGTAGCAGATGTCCATGGGCGGCGGTATTCACTTAACATCAGGTGAACCATCTGCTCGCTTAACAAATTTTCACAAACAAAAACGGCAAAAAAATCATGTCCGTTGTATGGGAGCCCCATTTAAATATTTAGCGGCAACAGAAATACAACATCTGAAAATTTCAACTGTCTATCTATTACGGTTTATGATATATGTATAGCCTGGTGAAAGATGGACAGACAGACAGCGGAGTCGGAGGGTCCCCTTTTACCCTTGCGGGGGGGGGGGGTGGGGGGGGGGGGGGGGGGGGGGGGGGGGGGGGGGGGGCGGGGGGGTATTTAATGTCGTATTAAATAAATAACCGTACTATAATAAATAGGCCAGCGATTTACACGTACTATATAAAATATATTATATCATTTTAGTTTGCCATCATTTTAGTTTGCCATTATTGTGTTATTTTCTCACTGATTTTTTTTTACGATGATGTACTATTTTATCATTTTTGGGTTACCCTACTCAAAAGAATACGGTTACAATTTAATAAATTTTCAACTATCTTTACTAAAATATACATAGTTTTTAACCGACTTCAAAAGGAGGAGGTTCTCTGTATTTTTTTTTATGTTTGTTACCCCAGAGTTGTAACTTTTGAGTAAGTTAACCCATTTTGATGATTCTTTTTTTATTAGAATGCTGGTGCTTCCCATGTGGTCCCATAATAATTTCATTGCTATTGGATACTGGGCTCCGGATAATCAATTATAAAATGAATACGGAGCGAGATATTTGAAGTCGGTTTTGTTTTTCGTTAGTAAAAAAAACGGTTATCTTAGGTGAGAAGGTGGCAGGCGGGCTGGCCGGTGTTCGTCTGATGTAAAGTGACAACAGCCGCTCATTCAAATTGAAAATATCTTTATTAATACGTTACGACGCCTGCGCGTTCCTGTGAAACGTCGAATTTAACCAACGATTCGGAAGGCAGCCTTTGATGAGAAGCCGGCAAGAAACTCAACAGTTGCTCTTTTTCATTGACATGTGGAACACTACGGTTGTTGCACATGTCAATGGGTTGCAGATGCGTCGCCACCTTTTAATGTGGTCCCCGGCTACCTCGCTCACCGAACGAAACACTTCCGCATCACGCCGGTCTTCTGTGAGGTCGTGGTACCTAATCGGACGGACATGTCCATTCGTGCAACAGCGATGACTGCACGGCCCTACCACGGCTGAATTCTAAGGTACGAAGTGTACTCACGGTCTTGAAGCCTCTGTACATGACCCTGATCTCCTGTTTGGAGAATTTGGTCTGCCTGCAGAGCTCCTCGAGGGCGACAGGTATGGGCTTCGGCGTCCGGCTCGGCTCCAGCTCGTACGCATGCTCCTCGACCGGCGACTCTGGCGGTGTTGCCATCTCGACGGCGCGTCACTAAACACTGACGGCACTAGTGGGACATCGCTCGAGTACCGCGTCACTAGCAGTTCATCGCTCTCGAAAAGTATTGGTTCGCATTAATTATCTGTGCTATTTTATGTGTCTATTATTCGAGCCGTCGGAATTTTTATACGTGGTGAGGTTTCGCGCGTTTTAGTTTAACTTTTTTTTTGGCAATTGAAAGTCAGAGGTCACGGATCGTTTACGGTTTGCAAAGCGAACAGTGTCTTCGGTATGTAGAAGAAGTGGATGGCACGAAGGCAGGAATCCGACTCTGAAACAAGATGCAAAAATAGACATTAGATATGTTTTCGCGCGGCTGCGAGCTATGCAAATAATTCTAGGTCATTGGATCACTTGTATAATGAATAAATATGTAGAGTACTGATTTATTTTGAAAATTATAATTTATATTTTAAAGAGAATAAATAAACGATAACACATACATTGCATGCCGCAATGTGAATGGTCAATATTGTAACAAAATAGTTAATGTATACATCATTATCGGTACAGTTGTAATAAACGGCAAACCCATAAGTTGATATTTTTAGAGAATAGGTAATTTAATTGATGATAGGCCTTATTACGCGACAGTCAAGTTGTGACAGTCAAAGGGACAAGTGTCTTAGCTAAAAATACTTAGTCAAATCCTGAAACTATCAACCCATGTGCGTTCCACATGACAAAAGCATTGCTCTTTTTTTTGTGAAAAGTTGGTAAGCGGCGCAGGGCGCTCGTAGGGCCATGGGCAATCACTTAACACCAGGTTCACCTGGGGTTAAGTGTTTACCACCGCCCATGAACGTTTACAACAATTGACGGGTTGTAGATTCTTGCCATCCATTAAAAGGTAAGGCGACGTGCGATCGATGCGTGTGATCGTGCCTGCCCATTGCAACAGACGCTTCGTCGTGACTCCATTATAGAAAATCACTTCCATATACGATTCCATCAAATATTACAAACACATTGTAGCTTTCGAATGTGCTAAAATCCCGATGGGCGCCAAGATACATTTTCCCGCCTAAACCGGGCGCCATGACAGACGACCCGCGCGCCATTCTAATTCAATAGGCCGTGGCGTTGGCGCAGGGCCATTTCGCGCGGCGCAATTTCCCGCCAAAACGCGAGCGCGCCACGCCACAGATAATTTCGAACGTTTGACACGTCGTAAAGATTTAACGGCGGTTTCGGACGCGCCGCCCCGTTGGATGCCCGTTTCCGGTAGTTTTATAATTATTAGCGGTCACCACGTGGTCGAAATTCGATAGTAATTCACAAAAATCTATTTGTTAACTTTTTTTTTGTTATTTGCTTAATGTCATTTATTTTTTTGTTCAATTTATTTATTCGGAAACTCGTTGGGTACTTCGCGCTGCTCCGATTGGCTGAGGTCATTTACCATTACATCTGAGATTGGTCGACGATACTTCAAACATTCTTTTGTGTTTGTATGTCTGATCGTTTTTGGACATTTGGGATTTCGAAAGCTCCCTTAAAGTTGATGACTCATATGATGACTCATTTGAGATGACATTAGTTGAGTCACAACTGGTTATTCTCCTTTCTGTGTTACTCTTTTATAGAAACCAACTGACAAAGGCGGAATGTCTACTCTATTTACAGGTCCGTAATGTTAAAACAGAACTTAGAGTGACAGAGAACAGAGGTTCTGGAGTGGCAGCCTCGTACTGGCCATCGCAGTGTAGGACAACCCCTTATTAGATGGAGTGACGACCTGTGCAAATTTGCGGAAAGTCGATAGATGCAGGTGACTCAGGATTGTGCTTCGTGGCAGTCTGTGGCGGGGTCTATGTTCAGCAGTGGACTCTAACAGACTGAAACGATGATGATGATGATGATGAATGTTAAAATACTTGCTTAATTCGCTTATACAGGGTGGCTTTTTTAAGTGTATCCATTTTTTATTATTAAATTCTAAACATAAATAATGTTATATAAAAATGATAAATATTTAAAATCACTCGTAAGTAAGTAATTACATTCATTTGAACTTATCTCAAAAAGTGCGTGATTTATACGCAAATCATTTATTTTACGCGCGATCATTCATAACTAATACGCACACAAGTTCGTGCACAGTAAAATTTAGATATTTATGAATGACTAACGCATTGTCAACACGTTCTGTTTTTTAGGGAATAGAATGGCATTTTTTTTGGAAAAAACAACTTTGTTTTTTTATTTCAATAAACGATTATACTACCGAATCTGAACCTCCTGTGTAAATTTTTTTTTTTTTTTTTTATGCGAAAAGTTGTCAAACGAGCAGACGGTTCACCTGATGTTAAGTGAATACCGCCGCCCATGGACATCTGCTACACTCGAGGGTTACAGATGCGTTGAAAACCTTTTGAAAATTGGGCTCCGGCTACCTCACTCACCAGACGAAACGCGAAAGTATTTGTCATACTTCCACTTTACGCCGGTCTTCTGTGAGGTCGTGGTACTTACCCGGACGGGCCTGCCCATTCGTGCAACAGCCGAGGCTGCTGCGTGGCCCTACCACCGTAAATTTGGGCATTTCTCAAAAAATCTCCCTGTATATGTTTGGGTTTTTATTCCAAATATGTAATGTGCTTATTGAAAAGTCAAAGAAAATAGAGTGTATACGCAATATCTTAATAAAATATCTGGCGTAATTTCATCCAATAATTTGATGAAACACAAGACGGCACTTCGAATAAATCAGTTCCAACCGTCATCCCGGGATAAGGCCACTTAATAGGCCACTTGGATATTTCATTGTAGTCATGTTCTAAAGTGCGCAAGCTTTTGAAACGGCGCTAATTTTTGTGTAGTCAGATTCACTCGAGCCGCGCTCCAGCAGCATCTTGACCTTGTTCGTTGGAATGCCTTAATTCCAATTGAAATAAGTTGCAGAGCGTCGACAGACGAGTAGCCAGTTCTCAGCCCACTCTGGCCTTGTAAGTTCAAAGTTTATATAAGTTCAAAGTTCAAGATTATGGTGGTCTAAGTTCTACATAGAGACTTTGCCACAACAAACTAGCCAATACCGTGAACAACAGGTTTTAAATGTGGTGTCGGCCTAATCTTGGTTTTTCTTTTTACTTTTACCAACAAAAACCACCGCTCGTGGACGTTTGCAACACCCGTTGGTTTACGGATGCGTTGCCACCCTTTTAACAAAGTAGGCCACGGCTACCTCACTCGCCGGACGCAAAGCAGAAGTGCAACACTTCCACTTCACGCCGATTCTGTGACGTCGTAATTACCCGGACGGACCTGCCCATTCGTGCAACAGCCGAAGCTGTTGCGTGGCTACACCACAGATGGGAGCACATGGGAACTAAAGCAAACCCAATGAAAAAAGAATTTGTAAAACATGCGACGGAGTGCTGAGGTAACATAACAAAAAAATACAAACAAATTGAAAACCTCTTTTTTTTTAATTAAGAGGTAATAGGGAACATGCAGTAATAGTAATTACATAAGCTCAATTTTCAAAAGGTTGTCAACGCATCTGGACAGGAACCCTCGGGTGTAGCAGATGTCCATGGGCGGCGGTATTCACTTAACATCAGGTGAACCGTCTGCTCGCTTGGCAACTTTTCACATAAAAAAATACAGTAATTTACTGTTTGGCTACCTCTTTGGCTTATTGAAGGTACACGTATTCTTATACTTCGACGTAAGCGAAGATATTATAGGGTTTACTTGGCAAAGCTCCCGCAACAGCCTTGAGCGCAGCCAATGAGCCGCCATCAAATTATCATACAAACGGCTCCTTGTCTATGGAAACTGCATAGACCGGATCACGTTATGTTGGAATATCTACCCTAATGGGTTATTTCAAACACATAATACACGGTGCAAACCACAAAGCAAACGAAACAAGAGAAAACAGAGAGATTCGGTGGTTGCGGTTTGTTACCCTGTTTTATCGCATACAGCCGACCCGCAATGGCGAAACGGGCGTGAAGATACGCCTGCGATTAAGACACTCGTGTGAATGTAACAATGTTTTATTATTTTCATTGTCAAATTTGATGACGGAGAGTTTTCAGAAAATCTTACACCATACATACTAAATGTATACTTAGATCGTAAATAAGACTAGATATTTTTATGCCATATGAAGTCTTTTCTTCACTTTTCAGGAGTTAAAGACAGACAATTTTATAAAAGAAGTCCAAAGGAAAAACAAAATGGATGGTGCTCTCGCAAATTAAAAAGTAACATATTCCAAGAAAGTTCCATTTTCAAATTCCGTAATTGATTTTTATTTTTTATTGTAGCGGCCAGTTCCCCACAAACTTTCATATGTTCCACGTATGTAGCTATAGACATATAAACCTCGTTTTGTTGTCTTTTTATTTTTGTAGAGTGCCTAACTAAACAACTGATGTCAAACACAACTGTCATGACCCTTAAACGTGGATGACATATTAAAAAACTCTCCAAATAATAATTTTATTACGATTGTATCTTTTTTGGAGTAATTTATTTGTATTCTAAAACCCAACGTAATGTAGTTAATTTTCATTACAACATAAATAATATTGACTTAAAAAGCATTGAATCGATCACTTAGGTTATCACGTGGATCATATCACCGACAAAGCATTTCGCGCGCTCGGTTTTGTAATAAGACAAACAAACGTTTTTAGGCGATCATTATCATATATTTATTTATTCAATTTTGATTGATATTCCTTGATTGATTCTCCTTGATTAGACCAATCCTAGAGTATGCCTCAATAGTTTGGAACCCATTTTATGAAAGGTATAGTAATCAGATTGAACGTATTCAACGAAAATTCTTAAAAACGGTTTACTACAGATGCTACCGCAACTCTCTTTTTTCCTACTCCCAAGCTTTAGATAGGTTTTCACTTCTGCCTTTGAACAAAAGAAGAATTTTAAGTGATGCATTATACTTATACAAAATCTGTCATAACCTTATAGATTGCATCCCTCTTAATAATAACTTG